CTTTACATACATATATGAATATATGAATGTCATCGATCGTCGTTTCAGAGGTTAATTGACGCCCGTTTTTCGATGATACGGTACTTTGATATCTATACATTTGTGGTAGGTTTATTAATGAAAAATGTGGATATTTGTTATCTATTGAAACAGAATCCTTAAGTATTGAGTATCTGAACATTAAGGGTTATATCGGATGTTTTTCAAAAGTGGCTCACCCCTATAACTTTTTAATTTTTTTCAGACAAAAAACGTTGGTTGTAATACACATACCTCTACACTCCATAATGGTATGTTAGGTAGAATGACATATCAATTTTTGACAATAATGTCACTTTCTATCAAATAAAGTCTAACTCTTACTAAGGGTACAATTTAAAAATCAAAAGTTTTTGTCATTTCCAGATTGACATATTACTATATATATATTTTCAAATTGACATATTATGATATACCATTCTATTCAGAATGCCACTTTCTATGAAATAAAGTAAAAATTACCGACGGTACCATTTAAAAATCAAAAGTTTGTGTCATTTCCGGTGAAACACGAAGCATCCAAAACTAATTGAATACGCCCGAACCAAATTAACATACCAAACGAGAGGTTTCTCACTGTTGGAATTACATCTACATTTTTTGGCTGTCGCTGGCAATCATTGACATCAATCGATTATAATTGTTATATGGCAGACATAGGCAGTTTTCTTCGCAGTCATTGGCAGTCGCTTGGTAGTAAAATATTTTAGCAGTACATGTACATTTTTTACCCAAGTGAGACACCCCTCGATACCAAATCTCCTTTTTTTCAGAAACAATAAAAAGTTATAGGGATAAGGTACTTTTGAAAAACACCCGGTAAAATGCCATATTACGACGATATATGACTTTTAGTACCTATATATTTTTTAAATTATAGTTGGGGAAAAAAAACATAGAAGTGAAGTAGTTGTTGCTTTTGGAAAAGTTGATAATATTATTATTTTGGGTCACCCTGTACAAGCAAATAAGTTTGCAAGAAAACTAGTTCTGACAGACCCTGTACATTTCAAAATAATTTTAAATTATGCACATGGTCTTCCCACATATGCCCATAAAATATTTTGTTTCTACATATTTCCGTTTTCGTATAACCAGCCGAGGCGAATGAGTTGCGCCACTCTGTATATAGATGTTCCATTTAAAAAACTATTCGCGATCTACTCACACTTTTTGAGCCACCCTTTAGAAGTTCAAATATTTTCCTCAAATACATCCTAATACATACTTTATGTCTGGACTACAAAATTCATAAGTTTTTATTATAGGAGCTGCAGATGCCCGACGCACTATTGCCGGACCCTGTAGAATCAAGGTGATTACATTGTTGGTGATAAATTAAATACTAGTATTGTGAACATTTTATTCCACCCGACTCTAGTTCGACATATGCTCAACGAATTGTGATCCTAAACCGACCAATCAAATGTAAAGTTTCAGGCATCCGCGTCCGCTTCTCGCAAAAACAAAAAATTTGTTTCCTAGGATGAACATCTAGGTGCCTGGCGAGGTGCGCGGCTCCAGTATGTTTTGATGCATATATTTGTACATGTTTGATTCAGCATCGCCGGATGGCGAGGTGAATGGCGAGCATCGCGTCGAGGTGAAATGCCTTCACTATGTTTGTACGATAGTCGCGATGCATCCTTCGCGCACCCATTCGCCGTTTTAAAACACTGCGCGTAGGATGCATCGCGGCTACAATCCTGGCGAGCAGCGCGGCCAGCATCTTGGCGAGCATCGCATCGAGATGCCTCACTATGTTTGCGCCCTTAGTGTTATTTTGCTGTTGTAACAACAAAGGCTTCAACACCCAACTGTAATAAAAACATATTATATTTGACAGAGAACTTTATTTTTTCAAAACTTATCTCTTTGATTCATTTAATAGAATTACATGTTTTCCAATATATGATAGTCACTACATTCTCAAGTGAGTTCTTAGTAGGAAGCTGAATCAAGAGGCTGTCTCAAAAGAGAATTTTATCATCGTTTGTAAAGATAAATCAAAGTGGGTAAATTCTACTAAGAAAAATATAAATACTGTAAAAGTATTGTCTATTATTAGTTTCCATATTAAGACTATGGAAACTAAAACAAGGGTAATATTGTGTGCGAAATTTTCTATACCCAAGTTAAACTTTTAGAAAACATTTTCAATTTTTGTCAAAAATAATATTTGCTGAACATTTTGGGCATACTTAAATGTATTTTTATAAATAATATAATATCTCTAATATAAAATGGTATATAGAAAAAAAAAAAAGGACTTAAAAATCCTATCGCTTTTTAGAGAGATTGATTATAAAGAGAAAAGATTGATTAGTCATATTTTCCACTTGTTTCTGTCCTTGGCCTTTATTCTCCAACCATTAACTTTTATCCTTCTCAAGTTCTCTTCAATATCTCTTCTCCATCTGGTTCTTGGTCTAACCACAGAATATCTAGCTACTGCGTAGCTAGATATTCTGTGGTCTAACTCTTCCTTCTTTTTCCACCGTAAGACGTAAAATTCGCGTTTTAACCGGTTAATTCGCGAATTAGCTAATTTCGCGTATTATCCGTAACAGACACACAGATTTAATGAAATGCTGAAGGTTAATATTTATTATCTATAGATTCTTAGACCGCATAGATACTACATTCAATTCGTTTTGTTCAAGGTAACCGCGATACTTTATGCTGCGCCGAATATCTATTTTTAAGACGTTACGTCAGCCAGATAAGATTTATAGTATCTGATTATTCTGATTGTGTGTATCTATATGTACAAAACAGATATCTTGTAATCCTTGCTATTTAGGTGGGTATTTATGAGATTGCCATATCTATAAAAAGAGAAACGTCGTGATTTCTTGTTCATAGTCGACAACTAAGTGTTATCTAGTAAGTGTCTGGCAAAGTTCATTTAGGTAAGATAATATTTGTATGTGTATTAAGTGGAATCTGTATTTTGTGTTAATAATAATTTTTATTCAAACTATAATATTAATTTGTAAATTTTAGGTGTACCAACAATAATAATATTTATTAATTTTAAGATATGACAGTAAATAAATTGAAACATGGTAATATATTAAACTACACAAAAATAAAATAATGTAATAATGTAAAATGTATATTTTTATTCAACTAAAACCAAAAATTATGTCTATTAAAAAATGTGTGTGTTCCATTTTATCTTAAGTTTTATTAAGATATCGCACACTTGAGTATGTAACGAAATATTGCTATGATTTGATATGCAAGTTAATCATCATTAGTAAGATATTAGTTCTTTTTCAATTAATCTATTTTTTTAAATATTTCCTTTACATACATATATGAATATATGAATGTCATCGATCGTCGTTTCAGAGGTTAATTGACGCCCGTTTTTCGATGATACGGTACTTTGATATCTATACATTTGTGGTAGGTTTATTAATGAAAATGTGGATATTTGTTATCTATTGAAACAGAATCCTTAAGTATTGAGTATCTGAACATTAAGGGTTATATCGGATGTTTTTCAAAAGTGGCTCACCCCTATAACTTTTTAATTTTTTTCAGACAAAAAACGTTGGTTGTAATACACATACCTCTACACTCCATAATGGTATGTTAGGTAGAATGACATATCAATTTTTGACAATAATGTCACTTTCTATCAAATAAAGTCTAACTCTTCCTTCTTTTTCCACCGTAAGACGTAAAATTCGCGTTTTAACCGGTTAATTCGCGAATTAGCTAATTTCGCGTATTATCCGTAACAGACACAGACACAATATTGGAGTATGATCAATTTACTACAAAACATATTTAAATAAACAGCAATATATTTTATAGATCGCTACCTATATACACGGGGCAGAAGAGAGTCTACGTGGATTTGACGAATATGTCACCGCAAAACACACTCCATCCACTCATTACAATAGCTGTCCATATACCTATGTACATGCAAAAAATAGTTGCGTGATTTTATTATTTTTTTTATAGTTATTCTTCGCAATTATTTAATATTTTTAAAGATTATGTCTCATTTACATAGAAAAACGCTGAAAAAAACTGATTAGGTACTTTGGACTTTTAGTAATGGAAGCTCGAATGGATTAGTTTAGTAATATTATTTATAGCGCGCACATGAATTGCTCTCTAAAAGAGAATTTCGTTTCCTCCCTTACACCTCGTAGATACAGAACGGATCAACGACGTACTGTATGTATTATACAGGGTTGGGTTGGTTGGGTTGGCAATTATACAGGGTGTCCCGATATTCCGTGGACATAGAACTACTACGTATTTTTGGAATCGAAGTGAGTTTATTGGACAAAATTTACCTCTATACAAAAGTGCTTCGTTTGTCCGTTAGAGGGCAATAAACTTAAAAAAAATAAACAGACCTGTTAAGATATTTTAAGAACCGATATTCCGATTTGAAGGAGATTTAGGGTGCGTTATTTTTTAAAGTTTGATGCCCTCTAGCGGACAAACGAAGCATTTTTATATATAGAGGTAAATTGTGTCCAATAAATTTATTTTGATTCCAAAAATACGTAGTAGTTCTATGTCTACGGAATAATGGAACATCCTGTATATTTACCACCAAAATGAAACTATGATTAATTTTAAAACAGAAGCTGATAGATTGTCAAAATTGTGTTTTTAATTATGTCGTTATTGCGTTTTTTTTTAGGAACAATAATTATGATTAGATCATGTAGAATTGACAACGTGTCATATCATTAAAACCACTGCCAAAGAAATATTATGCAAAAAATCATAACTTACACCTCAAAAAATAGTTTTCTATAATATACAGAAACTTCTGGGTTCCAAATATACGACCATTTAAAATATTTTCAATTATCTAAGACACACACTGTAGGCATTACCTATAACAAAAATTATTTGATCAAAACCCGATAAATAAATATTATATATGTATACAAAAAGCATTAAATCAAGTTCTGTTGCCCTTTAGTAAGTAGGTATAACTTGAAGAGTGCAAAGTATACTGGTCTGGGATCACAGGTGTTACCGATATATAGACACCAAAAGATAATTTCAAACAGGTAGTCGTATAAATAAATTAATTTCAGACTAGATCAGATCTCTATAAAAGCCGCCAACGAATCGATAGGTACTCTTTTTGGGTATCATCTCTGAACATAGAGCTAACGATTTATTATAGATCACATTTTTTATATTCCTTATATAGTGAGTTCCACCAGTGAAAATTTAAACTGTAAGTGTCAAAACATTTAATTTTACTTACTACCTATACGTTTAAATATGCAAAACATTTCAAATTATACAGAATTTTAATAAATTAATTTGAATTATTAAAGATCAGTTTAAACTTTAATATGTAAAAATATATTTGAAACGAATAGAAACAGCGGGTGGTTATAAAATTGTATAAAATCTAGAAAAAAAATCTTTGTTTATTTATTATTTGGCCTTCTAAACCGAATTTAATGTTATCTAGGTCAACGAAATCATATAGGTATTTTACAGCATTTTTCTTTCATTAAATAAAGAAATTTAATAGAGTATTGCAATATGTTTCAAACCATAGACTTAAAATAAAATTATTTTAAGTCTTATGTTTCAAACGCTTTAGTTTCAAACTATATTTTTATTAGATACTTTGGTATGTACTTAACTTATTTTGATAATTACTTTCTGGTATAATAGTGCTAGTGTCCCACACCTACAGAAATTGCGACTGCATTCTTTGATTATCTCTTGAGCACACGAGGTGTGAAATTTAAAAAAAAATGACGTCTAGAGATTGACCTCGACAAAATTATCATCTATTGTTATTCGCCAGTCGTCTTTGACGCCGTTTTTTTTAATCATACTTATCATAAAGTTCTTATCATAGAGTTAAAAATTAAAAGTTCTTATACTCATATTAATTCTGTTTTGTGAATTCTGGTCAATATTAAAATTGCATCAATTTCAGACTAAATAAACTATAACTATGAGTTATTTTTTCATATAATTCTATAATAATAGTATTTTATCATATTAGTTTTTGCAGTGTAGTAATAATTATTATCAATTATATTTTTTCAATATTTGCAAAACGCTAGATAAATCGCGTAATTACATGTCTACCTGTCTAGGATAACCAATATAAATAATCCTTGTAGTTTTTGATATGTATCTTAAAACTACTTCATTAGTGAAGAGATTATGATTTTTTAGAAATACGAATCTATGTAGTGAATGATCGAAAAAAAACGGCGTCAGCAATAGCTTAGAAATGAAGACTGCTGTCATTTTATATGTAGAATTAAATGAGGAATGTCATCGATCGTCATTTCCAAGAATTCCAAGCCAATTGAACGCGATAAACGAGAAACCCTGTAAAACATACGAAACCGAGACACCCTGTATATATGACACCATGTTCTTTATTTAAAGTTTTTTACTATCTTCAATAGGTAAGCCTGCTGTTAATATTTATACATGTAATGTTCACAGAAAATATACCTAATTATTTTTTTGATCATTTATTTTTACCAAACGATTATTTCCATTATTTGTAATTTAACTGTTTAATGTACCAACATAATGGTTTTGTTACCTATTGCGGTAATTTACTTAAAATTATAAAAAAGATAGTGCCAATATTAGAATACTTTATAAAATTTAAATTAGGTAAACTGCTTTTAAAAAATGACTTTGTATCTGAGTATTTTATCTATTAAATATACAGGGTGTTTCAATATTCCGTAGATATAGAACTACTATGTATTTTTGGCATCAAAATAGGTCCGTAAAATAAGTAATTGGACACAATTTACTCTATACAAAAGTGCTTCGTATGTCTATCAGAGGGCATCAAACTTAAAAAAAAATAAAAACATTTTTTAAGACAATTTAAGAAAAGTTATTCCGATTTGAATGAGATTTGGATTAGGTTAGGTTAGGTTGTTAGGAGCCTATGTTTTGCTAAGTGCTTTAACATTTAACTTTCTCGAAATCAAGAAAAAGTACGGGAACGGTGAAAACTACCCCCACCCCTATACTAGTATATACCAGCACCGATTTTTTTTTGTAAATTGACCCTTCTAGTATTTACTACATTTTTTGTTTCGTGTAAAAAACGTCACCGCGCATACTTTTTGAGGAAAAAAATAATATTTTTCCGAATCTGATTTGATCAAACCAAAAAATGTTTCTTGTCACATCAATCCTGTGATGAAGCTATGGAGGCGCATAAAATCTATTACGCTTTAACAAGCGTAATAATTGGCGAAAATATGAAATTTTATGTTAGTATCATAAATTATATTTGATAATAAGCTTCATAAAAAGCTTAAAAAAATTGATAAATTTTAAATTAATTAACGGTCGTGTTGATTTTTGATTGATGTCCTCTAATGGACAAACGAAGCTCTTTTGTACAGTACGTCTGCTGGATCTGTGTCTATGAAAGGAATGCGGACAAAAAACATTTAAATAAACAACAATATATTTTATTCGTCGACTTGACGAGTACGTCACCGTAAATCGCTCCGCCCACTCATTTTATTGGTTACTTGCAAATTTGTCGAATTTTTATTGATGGGACGCGTCGTCTAATTTTTTACGAAAAACATGGAGAGAATATCGTTTCCCCTCTCACGGATACCCCGTAGCTACAGAAGGGACAAACGTACAGTATAGAGGTAACTTGTGACCAATTAACTTATTTTGATTCAAAAAATACGTAGTTGTTCTATGTCCGCGGAATATTGGAACTCCCTGTACATTTTGGAGGTAAGCTTTTTTAATTCTCCAATTTTTTGTTCTCAAAAACTATACGATGTGGCTTTTTTTCTTACAAGAGACAAAAACTGTAGTAAATACTAGGAGGACCATTTTACGAAAAAAAAAACAGAAAAAAAATATAATCAGTGGTCGGTGGAGTTGGAAAATATTTCTACTAGAATTTATAGGGGTCGGAGTAGTTTTCACCTTCCCCGTAATTTTTCTGTATTTTTGTGAAAGTCAAATGTTAAAGCGCTTAGCAAAACATAGACCCCACAAATCTCATTCAATTCGGAGTAACGGTTCTTAAAATATCCTAAAAAATGTGTTTATTTATTTAAAGTTTGATGCCCTCTAACCAAACCAAACTAACCACTTTTGTATAGAGGTAAATTGTGCTCAACGAACTTATTTTGATTCCAAAAATACTAACAATAACTACTGCTATATTCACGGAATATTGGGACATCCTCTACAATAATTTCAAGTAGCGATAGTACGAGTATATAAATCTTATCTAAAAATCGATTACATCATTACAGATGCCTAATTACATTGATTAAAATAAAATTTTAATCTCTCCAAAAAATCCTATATGGGTATTTCGCCACTGCAAGAAAAAAAAGTGGCGAAATACCCATATAGGATTTTTTGGAGAGATGAATCCGCCACATAGATATAGACATTTTTTAAAATTTTGATATTAGATTCAATCGTTTTTATTCGTGTTTATTAAAAAGTTCTAAATTCTATGTGTATTATTACTACTTTTAGCACAAAAACTATCGAATTATCAAATTAATTCCTAATTAATTTTTTTTGTTTACGCGGGTTTCAAACTGTGGTCCGAAGCCGTAAAGATCTACTGACCAGGCAACTGTCTAAATCGACTTATTCACAATATGTCGGAGTTCATTCTGTCTCTAATTGGCGTAAATTAGCAATGCGTTTGACAAGTCTGAACAGGTTTTATAATATGGCACCTGAATAAACAATAGGGCGGAATTCCCAGACGGTGTCGCCTTAACGTCGCTTAACTTCGGTGATCGAATAGAAATATGTGTATGTGTGTAAACGTAGCTGGGTCGATGCCCGCATATCTGTGACGCAGAAGTGACATTTCTGAAGTTCTGCATCTTTTTTGGCACTGGTTACCATAATTTGCTGTTCATCAACTGTGACTTTGTCATAACATTGAAAATACTTAGTTCAAAAAAACGGTTAAATAAATGTCGTACATGTCTAATAAAATGGCATTAGAATTTCCTGAGAATTTAAAACTTTCCCTTTTTAATAGATAATGGTGTATAATCGTATTCAATAGATATTTTAATGAATGATATAAAAATACACAAAAATATATACATTATAAACAAAATTATGATGAACATGTAACAATAAATAAGAGAAAATAATGCAGAGAAAAACAACAAAAATATAGTTAGAAAAACAAGTAAAGTAATAATTTGATTTGTGTTGATATTATTTACCTATTTACCGGATGGTGCATCGTCGTTGGAAACAGAAAATCGCATGCAAATTTTGAACTATCTAGATATTAGGTTCGTTCCAACCCGCGTAAGAAACGGTTTCTTACAGTAAGGAGTTTGCGCAGAAGTTGAAAAGCGTTCCAACCGGATTTACTGTCGGTTAGTAAATCAGATATTTTCTGTTCCATCTTAAATTGAAAACTGTTTGAAAACTGTCAGAACGGTTTGCAAAATTTTCTCGTATTATTTATCCGACGCATGCGTATTACCGTATAACCACGCCATAACTAATACAATAATAGCAAATTTGATTATACTCGTATCTGTTTGAATAATTTAAACGGGCTGTTTAACTAATTAAAGACTTCTGAATAGATATCATGAGTGACGAAGAGTATAGTAGTGAGATTAGTGACGTGTCGTCCATGGAAAGTAGTGATGAGGAGGATTTAGAATTGCTACTAGATGAGCACAGAATTTATAATCAAAATTATTTAGGTAAAATCGACATTTTTGCACATAAATTTATCTAATCTCTTATTGTGTTAATATTTTCAGAGGAAACCGTGCCTCAATATTCCAATGAAGTTTTCTTTGAAAATTTTAGGCTTTCAAGACAAAGTGCTAATCACGTACATAGCTGAAAGGTTTGAAATAAGCCAGCATTTTAATAGCCAAGTTGGCCAATATGGCAATATTCGTGCTTTGCATCAAGTAAAATATAAAATAATCATTTGCTGAAATTGGTATTTTCTTTAAAGATAATTATCTTGTTGAGCCATTTTCCTAGTTTTTTCAGAGACAACAACCACAGCAACAACCTTGTTTACTCAATGTTGCCTTAGACGAATTTTAGGTTATGTTATTTTATTTAAAATTCACACTTGACAGACAAAATATTAAGCAGGTGTTCCTACCCTAGTTTCAAATTGGTCAGAAAACAATTAATTTTACAGACACGCGCATTGGACAAGATTTGCAAATTGTTGCAAATCTGTTTATGATTCATGGTTGGAACGAACCTATTGGCTCCCCTGTTAATTTTACAGCGAAGTTGTAAATAGGTTTTTAAAAGGTCTACGTACGCTGAATAAACATGTCAAATTTGAACATTTTTGGTCAAGCAGATTTTTAGTAATTTAAGAAAAATGGCATCTATTTTTAAAGTAAAACTGAAGATGCAACAATGCAAAACCAATGTATCAAATGCCAACGTTCTTAAGTTATCTATGTCCTATAGTTTTGTCAAATTGTATTTTCTAAAAGTTATGCTTTTGCCTCATTCGAACCAGTTTTAACTTACTAAAATACATTTTGGGGACACTAAGCCTAAGTACTATAACGTAGTAGTGTAGACAGCACAACCAAAATCAACAAATTACATTTGACCAACATTTGACGATGATAAAATCATAGGTTGACAACTTAAGGCATGTTGAAATTCGACTGGTTCTGCATTGTTACCTGTTCACTTTCAATTTTAAAATAGATGCAGTTTTTCTTAAATTACTTGAAATCGGATTGTCCAAAATTGTTCAAATTTGGCATGTGTATTCAGCATAGGGGAGCCAATATTTGGACAGTTTAAAATTTGGATGGGATTTCCTATGTTTCCAATGATGATGCACCACCCGGTATATAAATGCATAGTCATTATCTTTTATTACCAAAGTTTTATTACAACTTTTTGACACAATTTAAGGTATTACTTACCTTTATCTATGGTCTTATTACGAGTTTTTTAAGTTCACTGTTAAGGTGGATTTTCATCAAACGGACAAAACTGCCGCGAATCCGAGATTCTGTCATTTTCAACAAAGCAGCAACTGGAGTGTCCAAAATGAGGAACATTTTGGAGGTTTTCGTTAACAATGAGAAGTTGTTGAAGTATCACGTTTTCCTATAACTATTATCACTCTTTCCGTAATAAACTAAATAAATTTTGTGCTTCTTTAACATTTTAAAACAGCAAAAAATATGACGTTAATTAAAATTCTATCAATAACAATCTACAGAGCAATAACGCATAGAAACGCTTATTAATTTTTAGGACTTCTAACTATATTTTCATGTTTTTTTTTTAATTTTCTCTAAAACGGTATAGAAATTTGGAAAATTATAAACGGGATTAACTATTTGAGAACAAGCAAAAATTTTCACGAAGAATGCATTTTTTTCAAAATGTAATAATTAAATAGTTTTTCCACTTGTGAAGACAATTCGGGGACATACTGTATATAATTACCAAAATAATAAAAATGAAGGTAAATAATTAGATATAAACGAAATAAGCTAAATCGAAAAATGTGATGAAATAAAATTGAGGGTATGTGTGTAATTTTTTAGTTTGTGAACATTATAACATTTGGATTTTATAATTTGCTTGGCGCTTTCCTGGATAGTAAAATATTTTTTTTAATATTCGGGATTCGCGACAATTTACCTAAATCCGGGAAACCCCGGATTTTCTCGGATGTCCTGGAATCTTATATAAACTGCAGAAAATATTTACAAAATAAAAGATGCCGTTTCAGTCTGTGTCTGTTTGGTGAATTCAAGTTTGTTTTCGAAAGTGAAAACATGTTTCCGTTTCTGTTTTGTTAAACAAAACTAGTTTTAATTGGGTCTCTGGTGGAAATTTGCCCTTAATGACTATAAAACGGAAGTACTACAATCTTAAAAATATATTTTAACCGAATCACTGTAATTGATATTACTATGTCTGAAATATCTGTGGTTTTTCTATACAATTAATTTCACAATGACTTGATTAGATTACTTAGATAAGCTGTGCTTACAAAAAATCCTATTGTACATTCGATTAAACTAAAGGTTAGGAGTCATTTAATGTCGAGAATTTCCCAGATCAGTTATAACTAAATTCAACTAAATTCAACTAAATCACCTTTTGGATGATGTATACTTACTATACTTTTTTTACAGGATCTTGGTAGACACCATGGTAGATGTATTTTCCCTTCGTCATGGTACCCACGATTCTGAAGATGACGGAAGCAACCCCAATATCGCCAAAGCGACAGCAATGTGCGTTCTGTTCACTTGTTCCTTTGTTCTTGGCTGTTTGCCCATCAAACTTACCAGATGGTTGGTTAGTAAAAGTGACAATAAGGATACCGCCGTTGAAAGCAACAAATATGTTCAAATGTTATTAGGTCAGTAGAAATATTAAGTAATTATTTTTTTTTAAAAACTTTTTTGCGTTAATACTTCTGAGTGGTAACAACGCTATCACAAAGCCTAAAAAAATTCTCAACACTAATGTGTTACAACTAAAGACAATTGATTATTGCTGAAATTAGTTTGTAAAAACGCAAATCTATTTTTAAAAATAATTATTTATCCTCCTTAATAATGCAAGTCCAAAATTGCAGTTATTTAGATAGTTGTAATTTTTATAGAAAATAAAACCATTAAATATTCAGAAGTCTTTTAAAACGTATACCGGGTGTTTCTCATAAGTGGATAGTGGTTCACCTTTATAACTTTCTCATTTTTTCAGATAGAAAAACGAGATTTTGTATGTTAGTATATGACATCAACTAGGATTGATTGTCGTATTCAATTGTTTTCGGTAACTTCCTGTTTAACCGGAAATTACTACAACTTTTGATTTTTAAAGGGCACCCTCGGTATTTTTTACTTTATTGGAGAGAAAATGACACTTGTCCTGCCTAAAAAGATGCCCAAAACGAATTTTTAATCATATCTCATTTTTTTTCAAATGGAACGAGGGCATTTTTTACGAATAATTTGGGATCACCGATATTTCGAGTCAAATTGTTTCATTTATTTCCATGGCACTCTAAATTGAAATTTAAAATACGATTTTTTTCAGAGTATCGTTTTCTTTCGAATAAAGTAAAAAATTATAAGTGAAGAGTGTCACATCATGGATCACTGAGCGATCCCTTCCTAACAAATACAGGAGTTAGGTAGGGATGTATTTTAGCGCCTCTCCTATTCAACATATTCATGGCAGCTACAGATGGCAGCGCTCTCCATTATAGTTGACAGCAAACTGCAGGAGAGGGGATTGGGCATTAGATATAGATACGACGGCGGTCTGCTCAACATAAAAAGACTCAGGGCCAAGACACGTACAAAATTCATCACAGAACTTCAATACGCTGATAACTGCGCTCTAGTTGCAAAAACGTTACAACAATTACATATTGGCATATGTAGCGGAATTTAATTATCTAGGTAGTTTCATTTTCGGAAAAGGCCAATATCGAGTCTGAAATTCAGCACAGGATTAGCAGCGCCATCTGGAAATTAAAAGACAAGGTTTTCTACAAATACATTTAAATTAAAATATACGACGGCCTCCCCATAAGAGCAATGAGAGGATTTACGTCCCAGTATTGAAGGACAGAAAATCGAGTCTGAATGGTTCAGGACATAAGTTCATCCTTGTTTAGTCAAACCTCCTACAACACGAGGATAGACTTATGTAGGAAATGCATTGAAATTCTATAGCCATCCTTCAATATCGGGAGAGGAATTTAAGCGGTACCATCCGTATATTTTATTTAAACGTATTTGGTTTTCTACAATTGACAAAAACGAAACTTGCAGCAGAGAAGAACAAACGTTTGTTCTTCTCTGCTTGCAGTGTACCGAGCAATTATAATCCCCAGCATGTTATATGGAAGCGAAACCTGGGTGCCATGCCGTACCGCCGGCACACGACGGCATTAAACAAGTTGCAACAGAGACACCTTAGACAACTCTTAAGAATCTGATCATGTCTCAAACGTATCGGTCCTTGAAAAAGCTAACTGCGAGAGTATTGAAGTCATGGTTACAAAATCCCGCTTAAGAAGGGCTGGTCACGTATGCAGAATGCAAGAAAACCGCATACCAAAATTTCTGCTTTACGCCCTTTACGGTGAGCTTGTAGACGGTAAGAGGAGGCCGGGTGGACAACTTATAAGGTACAAGGACATTTTCCACGAAAACTTAAAGGGGATTAATATGCAGAATGAGTGGGAAGAAACAGCTCACAATAGAACTCATTGTAGAAGAATTGTAAACTCAGTTAACAGTGACAACCAAAAAGTAAAGAGACAACAATGCAATGAGATTTTTGAATGTCCGGAGTGCGGTAGGCAGATAACATCACGTATCAGGCTTTTCAGTCACAGAAAAGCTCATGAAAGAAAACGCTTTGCGTGACCATTTTCTGATGCGTGTCAAATACTCGTCAGCGAGTAATGGCAGTATATGTAGTAAAGTAAAAAATACCGAGCGTGTCATTTAAAAATCAAAAGTTGTAGTCATTTAGGAGGGCAACAGGAAGTAACGGAAAACAACTGAATACGTCAATCAATCCTATGTCATATGTTAACTAACACACCAAATCTCGTTTTTTTATCTGAAAAAAAAAAATAAAAACGTTATAGGGGTGAGCCACTTTTAAGAAAAAACTCGGTATAAAGTCATATTCATGTTTAAAGCTTATCCCATGCATAATAAAAAAATATTTCTCAGAGAAATTATTGTTGTTGACTTCACTTAATTAATGTTGTTTATTGTTAAGGATGGTATTTACAGGTTAAGGAACAATAATTTTATCGTTTATAGGAATTTCTGTATCTGATTCACAATATATTTTTCATTATTTAAATGTAGTAGAGCGTCAGTTATTCGAATATATTGGGGGATTTGGAGTACCATTTCACAGAACTGTTTATACTTATATCATAGAACTGTATGTACGTAATATGTGTAAATATATAGTCTATCCAAGTCATTCGTCGTCGTTGGATAGACCATCTATGGTCTGGTTTGGTTAGGCTTATATGAATGATTATGTATTAATTATGTACTACTGAACATTATTTTGTTTTTTAACCCATATACTTTATCTTCAATACTTAGTCATTCATTAGATGATCCGTTATCACTAAATATATTGAATATAGTTTCTCGCTTTTTATTAAACATATTGTAATAGACCACTTGTAATAGACCACAATAGACCTTTACTACATAGAACAAAAAGAAATCGCGAGAATGTTATTATTTTGGTAGTCAACAAAACCAGAAAGTAATAATTATAAACTGCGATAATTTATATTTCATATTGTGATATTTACTTAGGTCTTGGGGGCGGTGTTCTTCTCTGTACAACTTTTCTTCATCTGCTTCCGGAAGTCGCGGAAACATTTGAAGAGCTAAATTTAACACCGAATTTGGAAATACATTACGCCGAACTGCTGATGTGCATTGGTTTCTTCATCATGTACTTCGTAGAAGAATGTGTTCACGTTTATTTGCACAGGTAAGAGAAAATATTAAAGGGGATGCCCCACTACCCGGATCTACTTTATTTTTTATGCCAAATCGAATAAAAAGGGCAAAAACAACAATTATTTAAAAAAAAAGATGTTTTATAGAGTTTAGTACTATTTGTTTAATATGATTGTAATTATATTTAAAAACTAAATACTCAAACGTAGAAATACTTATAGCTGTCTTCCTTGCACGTTTTAATTACCTTTCTGAATCTGCACTGAGGTATCTCTATTTATGTATTAATATCTAAGGGTACGTTTATGTTGTAGCTGCGATAAACGATAAAAGCAGTGAATTAGCGCTGCTCAACTGCCAACAGTGTCTCGACGCGTTGCTCCAATATAAACACCTACATATAAATTAATATAATAATATTCTTTGCTTCGCTACTATCGCTGCTCTTATCGTTTATCGCCGCTCCAACATAAACGCACCCTAATAATTCACTGCTTTTATCGTTTATCGCAGCTCCAACGTACCCTTAGTTAGGAGGGTTGTCTTTTATGTTCTGCATATAGAAACATAGTACGCGCCTATTAACATATATGAAATGTCAAATATAACTGTCATATTCAGTTAAAGCCAAAGTTTTAGACCGCTTCGTTAAAACTGTACCTAAATTGAATTTTTGAGTTGGCGAGTCAGTCGAGAAAATTTTCCTGCAATAATTTTTTACAATTTTCGGAGACATTTGTCTCAACAAGAATGCCTTGCCGAGCTGGCTTCTGTTTTCGGCAATGAAACACCACATCAGTCGACAATTTATCGTTGGTATGGAGAATTTTAACGTGGACTGATTAATCTTAGCGACGATGAAAGAACAGGTCTACCAACAAAGGCATTCACCTAGGAAAACGTCGATACTGTACGTAAACTGACCTGTAAGAGCTGGCCCAAGAAGTTCGATGTGTCACATATCACGATATTGACACACTATTGGGAATTTCAAAGACATCAATTCAAATTTTACATGAAGAATTATACTGAATTTATCGACCCTTTTTTTGCATTAAAATATGTAGCACTTATAGAACTTTTACACTTAAAATTTCATTCAAATCGCTAAAAGTACTTGGAAGAAAATTACACTAAATCGAAGGATTATTAAGACTTTAACACCCTGTTGCCAGGAAATAAAGCAGAATCGGTCCTATGTTGATATGAAAAATAAATCTTATTTTTACGTGAGGAATCTCCCCACGAGAGATGGCACATGTTTTTTGAAACACATGCCGGTAGTAATTGCTGAGTTTTGTAATAAACGAACCGTCAACGACGAATGATCCTCCACCAATGCAAGCTCCCACACAACCCGAAAAACAATTGAACTTTTATAGCCAGAAAACACCGAATTGTTTGACCGTTCTCCATACAGTCCGGATCTAAGTCCTAACGACTTTTCTACTTTTCCAAAAATTAAGAATGAATTGGGTTATCAAAGGTTCCAGTCCTCAAAAGATGCAGTCAGCGCCTTCAAAAACGCAGTTTTGAAGGTAGCAACTAGCGAATGGAATAACTGCTTTCGGAGTTGGTTCCAACGGATGCAAAAATGCATTTCCCTTAGTGGACAATAATTTGAAAAACAATGGTGTTTAAAAATTATCTACTGTTTTTCTCGACCGTCATATGCAAAATATAAAAGACAACCCTCGTATAATACCAAAATAATTTCTTGGCGTCTACTAATAAAAGGTATCTTTTTTTAGAAAAGAAGCTGAAGCTCTCACTTCACCTTTGATAAGGACACTTTCTGTACGTCGCGGAGATACCCCACGGTGCTCTGCGCACATCGAACCTATCAAGGAGGTTATTGTAGAAGCTCACATTCACAATCACACGGCACACTCTCACAAGCACACCCACGTAGTCGCAATCGAAGTGGATTCCACAGTTAAGGCCATTCGAGGTTTGCTAGTAGTGTTGGCCTTATCCGTTCACGAACTATTCGAAGGATTGTCCGTGGGACTAGAATCCAGCGCTGGAAACGTGTGGTACATGTTCGGAGCAGTAGCCGCTCACAAGCTAGTGATCGCTTTTTGTATAGGAGTCGAACTGGTCACGACCAACATGAAAACATACCTTATCGTGATCTATGTTTTTACGTTTGCGGTAGTGAGTCCCATGGGAATAGGTATTGGAATGGCAATTAGCAACTTAGAAGAAAACTCCTCTGACGTGGTGTCGGTGTTTTTGCAAGGACTTGCTTCCGGCACATTGTTATACGTTGTGTTTTTTGAAATCTTACAAAACGAAAGAAAAACTGGATTGAGGCAGTATTTCTCGATACTGTTTGGGTTTGTTTGTATGTTTGGAATAACAATTTTGGGATAGTGTACCTAATTCAACCCTATATTTTGAAACAAACCAAAGATGTGATTTCAATTAATATTGATTCCAAATCTGTGACTATGATAATTTATATCAAGATTTTGAATTATATTATTTGAAATTAGGCTCATTTGAGTTTTAATAATGTTTACACAATACACTTTTTTTTCTTATACAACTTGTTTTCTGTTTTACACCTAATTAGTTTTGTTTAGCAAAACCGACATGCTTAATAATAATTGTTTGGATTATTCAGATTTGGATTTGGAGCTAACGTCAAACACCTATATCAAAATACAATTAAGTATATAAGACATATAACTGTATCAGTTAAATCAACGTAATACATATTGTATTTAACAGTGGATTGTTTTAGTTTTATTTCATTTTCCTCTCACCTGATTTGGGGGTAAAAAAATATTCGCCGTAAATTTCAGCAGTTAAATTTACTTACTTTAAAAGACATTTATTTGTATGGTAGGTTAAACATGGGTATTACTGCGGATGTAAATAGGTAAGTAGGTATTACTGCGTTTTTTTATTTGTCAGAATTAAATGATTTTGCAAGCAGTGAGCGATAAAGCATGACAAAATTAATTTAATATTCATACAACATTAAAAATCAAAACCATTATTACCTGTTTAGCGTTAACACAGTAGCAAAGATAATTTTGCTAATGTGATAGGTTACAGTTGAGGGTTGGAACCTTTGGTGTTACACAGCAAAATAAAAAACACTAAATCACCACAATACACCAAAACACTTTTACTTTTACACTGGACGCGCGTTTCGCTAACCATGTTAGCATCATCAGCAGATGATTATAAACTGTTCTGATGATTATAAAATTGTTAAATGTTTTTTGTCCGCATTCCTTTCAAAGATACAGATCCAGCAGACGTACTGTACCTAGTATTTAATTTTTTTATCCGAAAAATTAAAAAAATTATAGGAGTGAGCCGCTTTCGAGAAACACCCGGTATTAATACACGCATCTACATTTTTTTAAATAGTCTATTATAAATGGAAAAGAATATTTAATAAAACCTACAATTATTTCTATTCACGTAAAGGATGGATTAAGTTTTAATATAAAAATATAAAAATACGAAATTTTCAAATGGCTTTATAAAATAAAGTTAAATTGCTGTATTTAGCTGGCATCCAAATTTTTGTCCCCAATAATCCCATACTTATATATACAACAGAAAATTAATTTAGTGTTACCATTGTCTATATATTAATGTTATTCCTAATCAAGGGTGTTACTTAATCAAGTACCATATGATCGAAAAGTTGGCTTGGAAATGAAAATCGCTGGCATTTTATAGGTGAAATTACAGAAAATTGGATATTATTAGTAAATTATATTATAAGTGAATGCTATCGTATGTTGTAATGTATATCCCCGATTTTTTCTAAAAATAATTTAAACTAAACTAATGCATTTACAAAAAAATACGTTTGTTTAAACATTTTCTGTGAATGTATGCGTACGTATTCCGTATTCAACCATGAAGTGTAAATATATTTAAATATGATACATGCTTTTTGCATTAATTTTAATGAAACAAAACAAGGAAGGATGTAATTTGGTTTAAATGTGGGAGTTAGTGTCGTAAGGCTACTTGAAGACAATCCGCATTCATAATTATATCGGTAATATGAATTTGTTTTGTCATACTTTAACATTTGTACGTCAATGTCAACAAAACTAGTACCTACGATAATAGCGTTAATTTTATAAGCTGCCCTGCTCCTTATTTAATTAGAGTATAATTTTAAAAATCAAATCAGATTCATTTCACAATTTGACTTATATAAGAACTAATTTACATTGTATTTTAATTTTAGAATGAAGTGATTATTTTTTTCAAACCAGTTAGTGACTAGTTTAGAAGGTATTAAAATGATTCTATGAGTTATTCAACAAAACCAATTATTTTAATAGAAATAAGATGATAGATGTTAGTACCTGCTTAATTTAAATTAAATAAAAGAAAACAATGTGTTTGACAATTCATAAATAAATCTTTCTTTATACAGGGTGGCGCACCTCATTCGCCTCGGTTGATTATACGATAACGGAAAGATGTAGAAACAAAATATTTTATGAGTATATGTGGGGAGGCAATGTGCATAATTTAAAATTATTTTGAAATATATAGGGTGTTTTAGAACTTTGATTCATACCAAAGTTATATTTTTTTTATGGAACACCCAGTATTTTAGGCTCAAGTTTCGTTTAGCCGAAATCAGTTACATCAAAGCATAGAATATCGGTTTATAGGATGATTCTATACAAGAAAACTAGCACTACATAATTTGATCTTTGCCGCGGAAATTCTTTGTTTTTGAGAAAACGCGAATTTTTTATTTTTCTGTTATTAACTAAAATTTAAAACTTTACGGTCTTTTTAATATTTTTTTTATTAGAATGACGTAAAAACATTTAATATAACGATGTGAACTAATTTTTATTCGAAAATATATTTTTATCACAATAATTTTCATTGATTTTTCCGGGTTTAGAAGTGCCGAAATGTGACAGGAAGATAAAAACTACATATTTTTGTTTGATTAATAATATAATTTGCTATAACTTTTCTATATAACTACTTCCGCGGAAATTTATCATAAGGGCGGTGTAATGGAAAATCTTCAATATTTCGAAGTTTTCCATAGTTTTCTCAACTTTTTTGCATATTTTCGGTTTGGTTTTAGTTGGTTTGGTTTGCTTTGGTTGTTTTTATTGAGTTTGGTTGTAGTTGGTTTGTTTGTAGTGGGTTTAGTTGGTTTGGTTTGGTTTAGTTGTCGTTTTTATGCTTTATTGATATTTTTTTTAATTTTCGCATTTATTGACCATAGCGATATTGAGTTGATAAGAATAGATATTATTTATTGATCTGTGTCAAAGGTTGGGAAGAAGCTCACTGCATAGTGGTGAAACAAGGCATTTCCGCGGATTTTCATTTTTGTATCGGTGCTTAAAAATAAGTCTACAATATAAAATAATATTAATTTTTTATATATCTCATTTCGTTACTTCTAAACCCTATTCAAAAAAATGGCAACAGCGCATTTCCGCGGAATTTCATTTTCGTATTAGTATTTACAAAGACGTCTAAAATATGAAATAACATTATTTTTTCATGTATGTCATTTCGTTACTTTTAAACCGCATTCAAAAAATGGTGACGCATTTCCGCGGCAATTTTTTTTCAGTAATATACTCCCTGAGGTACCTAAATGACAAAAAAAATGTTTTTTCTTTTTTAACAGATTTCGGCTAAACGAAACTTGACCCGTATTTTAATTCATTTTTGCATTCTTGAGTCCAAAAAAGGGCATTTATTATAAGGGTTAAATATGTTTGAAATCTTTGGTTTTTGAGATATTTAAAAATATTTAAATATGCATGCAACAATAGAATAGATTATAAACACCCTGTACATTACATTTCAGAATTAATTCGTGTGCTATGTTTAAAGGTAGAGGAATAAACTTTACTGAAAAATAGTATTGCTTCCTTAAATTTATACAGGGGTATCAAAAATGGCTGATCTATTTTAAGGATTTATTTTAGATAAAGATTTTATTATTTCAAATACAACACCCTATATTTTTTTTAAATAAATCGAAGCAGATTCCAATGCTCTTTCAAACTATATTAGGGTTTCCTATACCTATCTAGCTCAGATTTTGAATAAAAAGCGATTTGGCTGGTGTCGCCATGGCAATTTTCTAGTGAGAGTTAGTAACTATTTTTAAAGTCGACATTAGTTTATAGACATTGTTATTTATAATTTATAACAGTTTACTTAAATTTACCTACAATAGTTTAATATAAGTAAGTATTCACTTTTTTCCCAGTAGTTAAGCCCGGCGCCGTGCTTGGGTTTGAACATAAATAACCACTAAAAAACCACCAACCACTAGGTGTTACATTTTGCCACTAACAAGAGGGTCCAAACCCAGATGATTTAGTGGTAAAATTACTAAGGTGGCAACACTGAAAATAACATTTAGAAAGAAAAAAACTAGAACATTGCACCACAGATTGTACTTTTTACAGATTTTTGTAAACATATGACACACATTTGTTATATTAACTAGTGTCAAAAAAATAAATAGTTAGTAGTAAAATAAACAAATGTAGTTAGTAGTGCTACAATTTGTAATAATGATTTTCATTTAAATTTCAACGTATACAATCTGAATATTCTCTGACACAAATTGTGAGAATTACCACTTGTTCGCTATTTTCATATAAAATCAAGCATATTTAACTATCTGAAGATCTTGTAATAGAAATAAAAGCTACAACGTGATGCCTAGTACCATTTTAGACGCAAAATGCAGCAGTGTTTTCTACAATTGTGGGGTTTCTTTGTTTATTACAATTTGTTTTTTTTTTTCGTGTATTTAAGGTTAAATAATAAACTATTTTACATGTAGATCTTAAGACAGGGGGGGCTGCGTAGGCTGGAGCTCGGGAGCCAATCGCCACCCTGGCTATATGGCCGGTCCATCCCTGTGCTATTCTGATTAAAAAATAGAAAACAAATTTCTTGCAGTATAGGTATATAATAAAATTATGTAAGGATTCTTGCCACTTAACTGCTGATATAGAAATTTAATTCTACGCTGTGTTTGTCATAATGTGGATCAACCTGCTCTCACTACCGGTTTCGGAGCCCTACTCCATCATTAGGTGAGCTTGGGCAGATCCACAAAATGACAACCACAGCGCAGAGATAGTTAATTCCGACTTGTCTATTATCTATATCAGCAGTTAAGTGGCAAGAATCCTTATATAATTTTATTATATACCTATACTGCAAGAAATTTGTTTTCTATTTTATAATTTGGCTTACCTGAAAAAAAAGCCTTTTACCATCTTTTTACTATCGATAGTTTCGCCTCGGTGGTACGAAAGTACTACCATTGCACGCAGGCTGCTATCTCCCGTTCGGGACTTAATATCTAGCCGACACTTTCCGACAAGTCGGAATTAATTATCTCTGCGCTGTGGCTGTCATTTTGTGGATCTGCCCAAGCTCACCTGATGATGGAGTAGGGCTTCGAAACCGGTAGTGAGAGCAGGTTGATCCACATTATTACAAATACAGCGTAGAATTAAATTTATATATCAGCAGTTAAGTGGCAAGAATCCTTATATAATTTTGTTATATTCTGATTAAATTATACAAAAGATAATTTAAGATAATATTGTAGAAAATAAGCTAATTGTCAGCAACTTCCGGTTAAACCGGAAGCGTTAGGAAGCCTAAAATATTTTAAAAAGAAAGTGTTTTAAGAAGAAAGTAAAGTGTTAAAAAATATTTTAAAAAACTCTTTGAAAT